AGCAAGTGATCTAGAAAGTAACTAAGAGCCCATAGAAAACTATGGATGAAAATGGTGCTAACACCTTCCCTTTTTATAATCTACCCCCTGAACTCAAGAAAACATCTCTAAAGGTCTTTCCTGTGCTTTTTCATCTTTCCTTTTGGATAAAAGAAAAGTCGGTGGCGACTCTTGCTAAACCGCAACATTTGCGAATACAAATGCGAAACAAAAAGTCAATTCTCCCACCGTATCATAATAGCGCGCCAATTGTTTTATTCTGATTCGTTGGCTATTTTATGATCTAGTGTATTTTCAATTAAGGTCCATATCAAGCACAACATGTCTGGTCCACTTGATCAACTTACTAACGCGTTTTGACTATGATCTGATGGTCCACATTTTTTTTAGTTTTATTTTTATTTTATGATTTTATATTTTAATTGTTTTAAATTTCAAAAGTTCATAACTCTTTTATTTTTTATCCAAAAATCATGAAATGAAATAAAAATACTTTGAATTATTTCTGACTTTATGAATATTTTTTCATATTTTTATTTTGATGTTTGATATTTTTCATAATTTTTGCTTTATTTTAATTATTTAAAAAATACTTTCTGACATTTTTAAATTTCTGAAATTTTTTATAAGTTATTTTCATCATTTTTGACCTTCTAAATTTTGTATGGAATTTTATCTTATTTTTTACTATTTTTGATCTTTTTTCTTTTATTTGAGCAATTTAAATTACTTTAATAATAGTTCCTGATTTTAAAAAATTACCAAAAATTTCATAAAAATATTTGAGTTCATTTATGATTTTTTCTATGGTCTCATTTAATTTTTCTTGAGTATTTTGAATAAAATTACTATTTTCCCCTTATTTCCAAATTTAAAAATTATTTAAAACCTTTTTCTTTTATTTTTAATATTATTTTATTTTTTGTACATATTCTGGATGATCTTGGACTATAAAATTTTGATCATGAACTTTATTAACATCATTGGATCCATGGTGTTGAGTCTAACTCCATAAAAATGGATGAATGATTTTAATAATACTTTGATTAAAATTTTTATTCAAATGTGGTTTACTTTTTATCCTATTTCTTCTTCATCTCATCTCTTTCAATTGTACTAAATATCATTAGAGCATGATTTCCATATCATGTCTCAAAGTATATGATACATAGATTGCTATTGACCGATCTCAAAATAGGTGCGACTTCTATATAAGTCCACTTACGATTGCTTAACATAGCCCTAAATTTTGTCCTGATTCGAGAAATGATCATTTGTGGCCTAAACCCATGTTTACAAGCCCAAGTATATTGATTTGAACCCTTTGATCCAATAACCTTGAGATTCATTGTTAGGAGACTTTGGTTCTACCAATCCTCTAATGAATCTTCATCAATTTTGGTCAAAGTGGATCACTTAAACATTATTGATCATTTAATGTTGCCTTAAGAATTCTTAAATAGATGATATACTTGACAAAAACAAATGCAACTTGTTGTTGAGAGGCTTTGGTTCTACTAATCCTCTAATGAGTTCCAAATGGAAGTTTCAAGATGATCATTCGACTAACCACTAATTTCTAACAATTGAAATTATTTTTATGCTTTTACTTTAAGCACATTTATTTTTAGCATTTACATTTCATGCTATTTTCATCTTTGCTCACTTGAGCATTTACTTTTATGTCATTGTTATTTTTGCTTATTTGAGCTTTTCATTTATTTTCTTTTTGAAAGATACTTAATAATCAACTTGAACCCTAAATACTTTAATGTTATCTGGACTACTTGGTTACTATCCCTGGCATTATGGAGTGATGAACTTCTTTGACTTAGGATTGGGGGTCTTAATCTATCTTGGAGACCTTGTGACCTTAACTGTTACTTTATCTGGAGTTCTTGGGGTTTACCCCAAGATATTGGGTTGTTTGTTTGTTTTATGTGCAGGTTATTGTGATTACATGCTTTGTCTGTGATATGGAATTCATATGTGCACAACCGTTACTCTGCCCAATTTTTGTGAAGACTTAATACAAATGGAGTTTGGTTTCCTTAAGAGGTCCTTTTTGTAATTGTTTGTTTGGTTTCAAATCCAAAGGATGAAAATTCTACACTAACTCATTGTGTCAAGTGTTGGCCTCTTATTGGTTAGACGATTCTTTTCTCTAGCTATTATCTTATGCTTTAGGATAGTCCCTTCATCTCCTCCCATCTTCTTTAATTTCAAAAATCTTCTCCCTCCTTTTGAAAACTCTTCTTGTTTTAAAACTTGAATCACTTTCATAATAAACTTGAACTTAGGTCCATGCATTTTCAAAAATCTTTTCTTAATCAAACTTTAATCAATTTAATAATACTTTGACATTTTTGTGAGAAGACTAAAAGTCAATCAATCTCATTCAAACTATTTTACCATTTTGGCTTTTATCTTTAAATTTTTTTCAAAAGATTAGACTCATGAAAAATCCTCGAAGTGATGCAAACAACTATACTTCTACAATATATAGTGAAGTGAGACATTTCCTACTTGGGTGTTGAGCGAGGTTCTATTGATTTTAAAATCCAAGCCATATCCTCCACTTTGAGATGATGCAAATTCTCCATCCTCATAATTGTGGGTAGTAAGTATGTTTTCCAGTCGGAGAATGACAATGATGTCTTATCTCCTAAAATTAACCAACACACTTGTGTTTTAAATTTTTTAAAGGTGAACTACGTGTACCCTGATCCCCTATTGTACAGAAGGTGGTACATAGGCACTAAAGGTTCGCAACCACAACAGATGTAAAAATCATTAAAAAAAGTACTTCTTTCATCATCCCCATAATCCATTTTTGTATACAACATTTATAGCCAAAATACACAAATTTATAAAGAGGTTCCTGCGGAGTACCATAAATATTTAGAGTGATAATACCTTCCCTTTGCATAACCAACCCCCGAACTTAGGTTTTCTTCCTCTCTTTTTGGGTTATTCGCTCTTTTCCCATTCCTTTGGAAACAATAAAGCGCAGTGGCAATTTTTATTTTGATATGTGCAAGTTAAGTCAATCTAATGTCTTTGTCTCAATATTTATACCGCTACACATATGTTATCATATAAATCTATGTGTCAGCTTTCTAACGCTTTAAATGGCGCATCAAACAGTATCCTGAAACTCAAGTTACGACCTTTAAAAGTTACTGCCAGGTCTACTTGCCTGATGCTCGCCCGACGATGCTGGTGGCGCTCTCTCCGCCTGACGCTTGCCCGACGAGGCTGGTGAGATGATCCATCCCCCATAAATTTTCCACGAGCTCTTCTTTTCCGCCATTTCTTCTTGTTGCTTGTCTCACCCAGCGACGCTTGGACGACTCACTCGCCCATTGCCCGCCTGGAGACGCGTTCGACACTACAACTTCTGTTGCGATTTTGCTACTGATATCAGCCATTCTAATTACGATTACATATACCATACTCATTTCAAAACTCATTATAGACACCATATATCACCTACAAACATCAAAACAAGTATAAACACATATTGGGGTTAAATAATGACATTCATATATCATTAACATCAACAATTTCATCATATTTCATCAAACCAATCATACAACAAAATTCTACATCTACCTTAACCCCTTATGGACCATAATAAACCTTATTACACCCATTACCTCAAATTTCTAGCACGTTTATCTTCTTCAAACTCTACGAAAAACTCCTCTCTGAACCCCAACCTCTTATTTCACCTTTTTCCTCTATTTCTCTCTATTTCACGATCGATGTAAAAGTGTTCACACTCTTTCCTAATTTTCTTCTTATTTTGCCCATTAGACCCTTTCTATGATCTTCTCATCATACCCTCACTAATCCTCATTATTTTTTATCATATTTCCCTTAGCACCTCTACACCTAATTATCTCATTTATTTTATTAATAAACTATATTAATATAACTAAAATTATTTAAATCTAAACAATTCTAATTATCACTTTTATTCCACTTACTACCCCACAACACACCATCACACATCCCATGAAATCAACAATAAATCACAAATAATAAAATAATTGAATAATTAAAATTCTGAGGTGTTACACATTATGTCGAGAACATCCTCGAGATAATCTCAATCAATCATGTCATAAGCTTTACTAGTATCAAGTTTAAGAGCTATATCACCATTATTGCCCTTAGTTTTAGACTTCATATTATGCCCTTAGTTGTAAAAACATGGTTTTTTAAACGCCTGAAATTTTGTCGACATATTTAGAACAAGAGCCCGTACGTCCTCAGGATGAGCTTGTACCTTCTCAGCAGGAATCTGTACCTCCTCAACAGTGGATACTCTAACACCCCGACGATGGGGTGCGCGAAACTGCGCTTGCTGCTTAACCATCCGTTTTCTAAATTTCTGATATATTTCAAAAATAATTGAACTACCAGAAATTTCAAAATTTCCGATATTCAGTGACGTATTAGAAATTTCAAAATTTTTGGTATACTTGGTAAATGAAAATACCAGATATTTTGAAATTTCCGGTGCAAAATACCAGAAATTTCACAAATCTACCATAAATTCTTACTTGTTCACGAAATTTAAGATATCGCCTTTGAAATTTTCGGTATCACTCAAATATTTAAAAAATCAGATTAATCACATAAATTTGAAAATTGTAGTGAATAATTTAAATCCGAACAATTTAATTTTTTTATTCTATTAGGGAGTGAATGTATAAATATGGAGGTGGCAAGTTAATTTATCAAAATCATATGGGTATGGGCTTAGATGTGTGTGTGTGGGTCCCCGTATCCAACAAGGATTCTGGTGTAACTTGAGTGTTTTGTTTTGGTCAAAACAAGTGAGTGCCCTTGATTCATTGTTGTGTTTGTCGTGTTGCGTGTTTGGGTTTGGGCGAACGAAACCCCTGTCACTACAAATTGCAATTGCAACCCTCTTTTTTTTTTTTGATTTGGGGGTTATTGCATTTCAATTTGGGGCTTCAACGCACGCAATGCCTGTTTCTGATTCTCCTCCCGTACCAGATGATCATTCTCGTTATGATGAAGGCCCAGAGGAGGAGGAAGTAGAAGAGGTTGAGGAAGTAGAAGAGGAAGAAGATCAAGATCAGGAAGAGGAAGAAGAAGAGGAAGAAGTTGAAGAAGAAGTTGAAGAGGAGGTGGAAGAAGTTGAAGAAGAGGAGGAGGAGGAGGAAGAGGTTGAAGAAGTTGAAGAAGTTGAGGAGGAAGAGGAAACAGTAGAGGTGGAAGAGGAGGAAGAAGAGGAAGAAGAGATGGAAGAAGTTGAAGTTGAAGAGGAGGAGGAAGAGGAAGAACATGAAACAGTAGTGGAGGAGAAAAAGGAAGACAAAGATGAGATTCCAGTTTCTCTGCCCAATGCGAATGAGCTTAGCAAAGGTTTTTCTATTCATTAATTAATTATGGTTTTTTTATCACTGATTTGATCCTGTTATTGCATGTTTGGTTTCTTTAGGCTATGGTTGGATTTATGGACTAGAGCAGAGTGGGATGATACAGAGATTCAATTCCATTGTTTGTCTATTTTTTTATAGAATAGGAGTGTAACAAAACAAATTAGTTCAATCCATTGCATACACCATAAATTGGAGGGAAAATTTGAAGGATTGGATGAAATATGATGGAATGGATTCCATCATGTTCCATTCCGCTTCATCCATTATTCTCAAATCCAAACAATGAAATTCGATTAGATACCGGCCCTTTCTATTCCACCAATCCAAACATACCCTTAATAAATTTTGTAACCTAGTTTTGTTGTACTGTGAGTTGTAACCTGCTAGTCACAAGATAATATATCCTTGTATTATCTGGATTTGAATACTCATAGGTCAATGTGGTGAAAGAACCTGATTCCGATGAGCTGAAACCTAGCACTATTCAGCTGAATCCAGCTCCAATAAGTGGAACTCAATCGTTAAACCTTTAGTAATTTCGAATGTTGTGACTGTCAATTTTTCCAACAGTTCTAAACTCAGTCATGCTCTTTTTACATGTTTAGATGTTAACTTATCTTGTGCTTTATGAATTTTTCATTCTAATTTTTTATATTTTATTGTTGTAGAAACTGTAGAGGTGGTGGTGGTGGAGGAGGAGGAGGAGGAGGCAGAGGAGGAGGAGGAGGAAGAGGAAGAGGAGGAGGAGGAGGAGGAGGAGGAGGAGGAAGAAGAGGAAGAGGAAGAGGAAGAGGAAGAGGAAGAGGAAGAGGAAGAGGAGGAGGAGGAGGAGGAAGAAGAAAAAGAAGAAGCAATAGAGATAGAAGATGAGAAAGAACAAGAAACAGTCATAGAGGAGAGAGATAAAGACAAAAGTGGGGTTCCAGATTCTCTTCCCGATGCGGATAAACATACAAAAGGTTTTTCTATTCATTAATTAATTATTACTATTAGTCATGATTTTTATTCTTGATTAATCCACTACGATCACATTTGTTTTCCTTGATAAATAAATTTCGTAACCTGGTTTTGACACTATTTTGTGAGTCATAACTTCTTTGCGAGTCGTAACAGCTGCAACAGTTGCACCGTGGTTTCCCTTCAAGTTACTTTTATTAGTTAATGGTATTGAATATTGATATGTATTGAATATATCCTGGTTGCCATAGGATGAGCTTGTGCAGTTTCTCCTAATTGCACCAATTCCAGATCTTGCTATGCTTCATCCTTGAACTAGGAAAAATTGTAATGGCTCAAAGAATGGTGATACAATTCATTTGTTTCTCATATATAAGGGATTGAACCCAAATAACCTAAGTGGCTGCAAATGCCAATTGGATACATGCATCTAAAATCCATCTCGAAACTATCTGCAAAGGAGGCGAACAACACTGCATTGAGGCTCAGCTGCATAGTTCTCATAATAAACAGAGTCATGGACTGGAAAACAGGCTCATCCTATGTCAAGGTCTCTTGGATCCTGAATGTTTAGCCCATTGACACTTCATGTGCTCCCCGGACTCCCCAACATTACAGGTTTACTGTGAACCTGATAGGTCAATGTGGCGTAAGATCCCAACTCATGAGCAGAAACCTAGTTTTATTCAGCTGTATCCAGCTCCAGTGAGTAGAACCAAATCCCTCAATCCTTCAGACTCTAGTAATTTTGAATGTTGTGATTGTCAATTCGTCCATCAGTTCTAAACTTGTCATACTCTTTTTATATGTTTAGTTGTGAACCTATCTCATGGTTTATGCATTTTCAATCATTTTTGAGTTGTGATGTTGGTCTGCTCTAAATATTTTATATTATATTATTGCTGTTTGCTATATTACTAACTTTGAATGTTGAATATTGTTGGAAGATGATTTTTTTCCCTTCATAACGTTGCTCTTATCTTCTTTATAGATTCAAGCCGACATATGGAGCTTGATGTGAAAGAGGAGAATTTGGGGCCAGTTTCTTCTGTACCAGAGAATCCTGAAGTAATACGGTCATCACATGATATGGAACTTGATGTGAAAGAGGAGAATTTGGGGCCAGTTTCTTCTGTGCCAGAGAATCCTGAAGTAATACGGTCATCACATGATATGGAACTTGATGTGAAAGAGGAGAATTTGGGGCCAGTTTCTTCTGTGCCAGAGAATCCTGAAGTAATACAGTCATCACATGATATGGAACTTGATGTGAAAGAGGAGAATTTGCGGTCAGTTTCTTCTGTGCCCGAGAATCCTGAAGTAATACGGTCATCACATGGTGTGGAAGAGAACAATACCATGCTTTTAGCACCGACTCCGCTGCATGAGGAATTGACATTGAAACAAGAAGCTTCTAGTCCTCCAAAACCAAGTGAAAACTTAATTCCTGCTGAAGATGAGAAAAATCAAGGCTTAAATGTTGATGTTGAAAATTCTGGATATCTTCTTCAGAAGAAAACCTTTGAAGGATGCAGTGAACCAGATTGCAATAGCAAAGCTTCTTTGTCTGATGTTAAGGACAATGATTCTATGGCCGCCAAGTTATCTAGTAATACGGTAAAAGACTTGGTTACTGGAATCATACCGAGAAATGATTTTGTTGAGGATGCTGATGGTGGTCAGAACTCTAAGGAGAAAATTTTGCAGTCAGAGACAGAGTCAAGGGTTGATGCGAAACAAAAGCCATCAAGGTATGGTCATGGCAGTTCAGTATGTTCTTTTTAAGTTTAATGACAATATGGCCAATACTTAATTTACACTGCATGCTTTCTCTTTCAGAAGTAGCTTCGTGTCCTTAACAACATGTTTAAATTAGTCGACACATAGTCTTTAACCATTATGTTTTGCTGATTAACTCCTCCTGCTAGTAGGGCTAGAAGTCCATCTCCCAGTGCTAAGATTACAGATGGAAACAAAAGACGAGCAGTTGCATGCGCTTTTTTTGCTAAAGGTTGGTGCATTAGAGGTAGTTCTTGTAGCTTTCTTCATATAAAAGATAGTGCGGAAAATCCTGACCAGGGAGCTGAAGGAAACCGAGTTAACACACATCAGAAGAGAGAATTGAAATCGGAAAAAGGTATATCAAATAACTTATTTACTCAACTCCTTCAGGTATCCCCTCTGTGTGTATTTTTAATAAAGGTATTTCCCTGTAACAGTTGTTAAGGAAAAAGTTGACGGGTCGAGAACGGTTAGTACTCCTCCATTTACTGCTTTACAATTACATGAAAGCATACCTTTGCATTCTTCTGATTTTATTTTGCAAATGAGCATGCAGAATGAGAGAGAAGCAAGTCCAAGTTGGCATCCATCTCATGAAAAAGAGAAGTTTCCGATGAGGGACAACTTGTTTCCAGAGAATAGATCTGCAGTTAACACATCAAACAATTATTTCAGCTCAAATCTTTCCTCGTATTCATCCCATGCAGAGGGAATGACTGCTATTCGAAATCAACACGTCTACAGAGGTTATACACCCAACAAAGATTTTAGTTCGTCTTTAGGTGCAAGTGCTTTGGACTCTAAAAAGCTTTTGAATAGTGAGAAAGAATATCACGCCTATAAGTCTACTTTCTCTTCAGACCGGGAAGATTTGTATCTAGGTGGTTCATCTAGGGTTTCACCACATGCTAATGGATATAAGCTAAAAACTCGTTCTTATGATTGGGAACCTTCTGTTCCATTTCGACCATCCTTTTTTATCACTTCTATGAATGTATCATCCCCTGGAGATCTTTATGACCCTCTTCGCGATAGCATTGAAATACCTAATATTGGAGATGGGTCTTTGAAAGCTTCCCTTCTAATTCGAGGGTCATCTATCCAGGCTTCATCACAGGCGCGGACACACGATGGTTCTGCTGCAGTTGGGAAACACATGTCTGATCTTAACGATGACAAAAGTTCTGTATCTTCTCATAATAAATTTTATGAAAATGAGCCAAACAGAAGTGCTGTTCCTCGTGGAAAAGATTCTCTTGCAACCAAAACAGAAATAACATCAGGAACTTGTGGAAACTACCAAAATGGTAGCATAGATGTGGGACAAAATGCCTTTGGTGTTGAAGATAGAATTGAAACAACGAAAAAACGAACCAAGCATGATGCTAGGCATCACGGTGATGGATCACAGCACAAAAATAAAAGAGTAGCAAGGGATGATAAAATTCATGAAATGGAGGTTGACTTTCAGACGGAGGGTAGTAATCACAAAGAAACAAAGGCGCTGAAAATTTTTCGTGCATCCCTTGTTGATCTAGTGAAAGAGTTGCTAAAACCATTTTGGCATGAGGGTCGTCTCAGCAAGGAAGCACATATAACAATAGTTAAAAAATCAGTAGACAAGGTTGTTAGCACTTTAGAGCCACACCAAATTCCAACAAATGAAGATTCTGCTAAGCTATATATTTCTTCATGTCGGCTGAAAATTACAAAGTTAGTCCATGTAAGTGTCCTTTCTTATGCAGTGATTGTAATTTGTCAATGAAAGTACACGGGCTTTGTTGGTTTGAATGTGGTTTGTCCTCCATTTGACAATATTTTTATTTGCAGGGATATGTCAATAAACATGGAAAATCTTGATAAGCAAGGCCAAACACCTTTTTTTGTACAGTTTCTGATGAGTTTGGCTGATTCCAATTCATGACAACTTCCGTCTGAGGCTATCTGTTTCAAAGTCAAGGTTGATTCAGAATAGTTTGAGTTCTCTTTCAAGATGTTTGCTTCATGTTTTTTTCCGCGCTTTCTCTTGCTTATTCCATTCTGAAGTAAACTGGCTTGAATTGCATGGTTTATAAGGATATCTTATTTTCATTAATTTGCATAATTATATTACTTGTTTAACATTTGGTTTAACTTTCAAGCGCCTGCAAGTTTTGGTATTGGGCAGCAACTTGGAAAGACTGGTATGGTAGGCCTCATGCCATTTCTTTGCATTCATGCACATGAAAAATCTGATTTTTTAATGTAAATACAGTGGTGTACCGTGCTGTAGAGTTTAGCAAATTGCTGACATAGCTAGAGACTAGGATTTTAGAAGTTGCAATATGTTGGACAGGTTTTTAATGTTCCAATTGTCAATTTTAGCATTTATATTTCCCCTGTTTTATCTGTGTTTCTTGTTATGCCTATTGTTGGCCGGACAGAATTTTGTCAAGTAGCAGCTAGCCGAACTCTCAATAGTATTTATCCGTGTAGTCCTGTTCTTCTCTTATCATAATTTATAACCGTGAAATCCGGCTTCCTGTCTATATGGATGACATATTTTTGTTACTTTCAAACCCTGGACTATGCTAATGCCATGCTGTCTTATTTAAATTAATTTAGGGTGCATTTAAATGATCAATTCCACATAGCGTTCTTGGAATTTGATCATTTTATGTTATTTTGTAGGAAATGGCTTGATTCCATTAGATCAAAACACGATAAGGTAAATAAATAATCAAATTTATCCATTCTTTTTTTGGTGGGTCTTCCTTTTATTTATTCTTGATTATAATTGTTGAAGTTGGAGTTTATAGACTTTGAATTATGAATATAGTTTGATATGTGTTGGGAGTCCGGGGAGCTCCAGGAGTGCCAATGGACTAAACGTTCAGGATCCAAGAGATTTTGACACCACATATCCAACAAAAACCTTAAGGCATCGGGTATATGGGTTGTCTCTCTCTTACAAATCCAACATTTCCACCATTTCTAGTTGATGTGGGACTTAAACACTTTGACTTGCATTCAGCAATCTCCCCCGCAAGTGTGAGTCACCCACGTTGGGAGAATCCAGGAGTGCCGGGAGTGTTGATGGACTAAACGTTCAGGAGTCCTGAGACTTTAACACCGCATATCAATCTAAAACTTTAAAGTATCGGGTATATAGGTCATCTCTCTTATATTATTAGTAATTATGATTTAATGTAAACTATGCATTAATCCTTATTTATATTAACAAAAGACTCTAAATCATAATTGAATAGAGAAATAGATTATGATAATATTTAAGAAATATGGAAACGGATCTTAAAGATGTAATCTAAGATACTATGGAAACAACCCTGTGAGATAATTTGGACACACCAGAAATATGACATAGTATAGCATAGAAGAACTTAGTTCTTATGCGTTTGCGCAGAAGGATTCTTCTCGGTCCATGCAGAAGAAGAAGAACATAGTTCTTCTGGGTTCGTGCAGAAGGAGACAAACAGAGAAGATCGTGTGAGAACTGTGCGCAGAAGAAAGTGAAACAAGGTAAGAGGAAATGTGAGGAACTGTCGTTTGCTTGAGAAGAAGAAATAACTCAAAATAAATCGAAAAGACCAGTGTACCTTAAAAAAGTAACCGAAAGTTAAAATAATATTAGATGCAAAACACACAAACTAGGCACCCTTCTCGCTGTGATTTATGGCTTTGACACCACATCTCTAAAATTGAATCACAAACATGATGACGGTATCGGATATCCGATATGGTGATGCATCAATAGTTGAAAAATATAGGATACAATATGTTTAAGAAACATATATAAAAATTAAAATTAGACTTAGTTAAATTATGATTTAGAGCAAACAAATAAGAGCTCTGAGAATTTCTTGTGCAATCTAGCAGAATAGAACATTCTAGATGAGAGCTCTAAGAGTGTCTCAATTACTTAAATTAAATGATTTTTCTAATGGACCATTTTCCCTCTCTAAGAGCTCTTATATATTTTCAGTGGGTAATGGAAAATGCTTAGGTTTCACTCTATTGCCAGTTCTACAATAGATTGCAACTTATACAAATATTCCTCATTTAAAGTAGGACACACATTCAAGTTCTATAAATGCTCAACAAATGAGCTGTTACTCTAGAGTAAGAACTTGTAAAATCTTTTTAACAAAAGTTACAAACCCATGTCTTTTTACTATAATGATATAAGTCCAAAAAGCACAACGATTATCTTGTAAAACATTTTCAGAAAGAAACTTGCTTGAATTTTTAGAGTTTGAAGACGCTGCTGACATTGTGTTGCTTCTGGGTTCTGCTTCTGGATGACTGGTTTGGATCAGGGAAGTACTCCAGTAACCGGCTGAACACGTTGCACTTACCGCTGCACCCGCGATCGCCTGCCCTAGCAGCACAATTGAAAACATAGCTGGCAAGAAGAGTGAGGTTTCAAACTCGGGGGAACTCGATAATGCAATAGTTAGATGATGAGAATGATATGGCTTTCTACCATGTTGAAATTAATAGGGTTTTCGATAAACAAAATATTTTTTTGAGAACAATTAAATATGATTGATAATCAATATTTGATGTAAACAAAGCATTAAGCCTTGTTTACAAGATTCCAAATCCTAATATGTGGAAACTAATCAAGATATAATCTAAGATTCTCAAAGATAATATCAAGATGTTATTAAATATTTTTATATAAGCTTAGCAATAATAACTTGCAAAATTTATAAAAATAAAATGTATATGTATTGGATGGTTAGATAGAAGAGAGAACTGAATGTATTAAACGATTACTGATGAGTTCTGTTTGTGCGAGTCTATATATAGTAAGTTAAAGAATAACTATTAGAAGTAGTTAATGCAGCTACCACAACTTAAATACAGCAGTTGGAATATTACAATTTCAGAGGAACTACCGCGATACACTCCTCAGAAGCTCAAGGTGGGTGATTAACAAAGGGTAGCCTCAAACACATTGAGCTTGTCCCTTAGAAAGTTAGAACTAGGAATCTGGACGAAGTGAGAACCTTGTTAATTAGTAAACACTTTTTTCCAAACGAAGAACAGATCCAACTCTTTGTGCTTTGTAAATTGTATAGGTATGCAAAACCAGGTAAAGTAGGGTTTAAACATATGTTTGTAAGTGGGGGTAATCCTCACCTTACAAGCCGGTTTTGTAGGATGAAGTTAGGTCCAACCACAATTTTAATAGTCTTGATGGTCATAGCTTTGCGGTTATGTCATGCAGACCTCTTTCTCTAGAAGGCCATTGAGAAACACATTCCTCACTAAGTTGTTCTTATAGACCAATTTATGGTGAAGACAAGAGCTAGAATCATTATGACGGGTGAGAAAGTTACATCGGAGTCAAAAATGTGCACTTGCTGGAAACCATAACAACCAAACGATCTGTATTAATTGAGAGTGCCATTAGTTCTGGCACTTTTGTACGTAACACAAGAATTTGTCTTCGAATATGATGCGTTTAGCCAAGAGATCAAGGCAGTTTTGATGCAGGGCAATAGACCACTAGTCTATTTCAGTCTATTTCAGCCAGATACACTCATCAAGAATCCTATCCAAACAAAGGTGGTAAATCAATGCTTAGAGACTGTCTTTCGGTGTTTTGAATTGGAGTAGCCTAAGTAGTGCTCATAAACTTGGACAATCTTCACCTTACAAGTCGATTTTAGAAGGTTGAGATGGGGCCAACCCAAATTTTAAGACAGTATTAATAGCCTATCCTAGATGCGTTCTTGGGCTTTTCCACGCTTCAAGCCCATTGGTCATAGGTGTGACAGAGTGTTGGAAATTTCTTCTTAATTGTGGTCCACCTCTAGCCATCTAATTGCAACATTTGGATTTCCGTCATTGCACAGGGTAGTAAATCAATGCTTAGAGACCATCTTTCGGTGCTTTGGATTGGAGTAGCCTAAGTAGTGCTCACAAAGCTGGAGCAGTCTTCAACTTACAAGTTGATTTTGGAAGGTTGAGACAGGGCCAACCCAAATTCTAAGATAGTATTATAGCCTATCCTAGATCTATTGTTGGGCTCGCTTCAGGCTCGTTGGTCCTAGGATGACAGCGTGTTGGAAATTTCATCTTAACTGTAGTCCACCTCAAGCCACCTAATTGCAGCATTTGGATTGCCGTCATTGCAGCCCCCATCACCTTAATTGTGTTGTAAATTTAGCCCTACATTGTCTAGAGGTATGGCTTAAGTCGTGCATATAAAGTTTGGGCAGTCTTCTCTTTACGAATTAGTTTTCTAAAGATGAGTTAAGGTCCAATCCAAGTTCTAATAGTTTAGAACAGTTTCTTCCATAAGACCAGTGCTTATGTGTGGCATGCTTATGTCTTGCATGCTCATGTGTGGCATCCGTGTCATGTTCCATGCTCCTTAAATGATGATCTAGTTAAGAATGGATCTTAGCTTTAAGTACCTATGAAACAGACTCCGACATGAACACCGGGACACGACACAGACACTCCACATATAATGTCAAAAATATAATACACCGACACCGCTACATATATTTGAGCTTTATTTATCCATCTTTTATTAATAGAGTTAAAAATATTCTAATCAAAATTCATGTCTTTAATTCTTCATTGATTGCATTGCTTCAAGAATGGATCTTAGCTTTAAGTACCTATGAAACACGGACTCCGACACAAACACCGGGACACGACACAAACACTTCACCTATAATGTCAAAAACATAGGACACCGACACCGCTACATATATGATAATATTTGAGCTTTATTTATCCATCTATTATTATTAATAGAGTTAAAATTATTCTAATCAAAATTCATGTTTTTAATTCTTCATCGATTGCATTGCTTCAATACATGTTTAACCCTTTTAGATATATTTGAGGTTTTTAGAACAAAGAAAAAAACATTTTTTTTAAAAACAGTTGTCCGAATTATATTGAACATGTTGTAGGAGTGTCATACGGGTGTTGGACACCGATTCAAAGAGTGTTAAAACCAAGAAAAAAAACCATTTTTATGAAGACGTATCACTTTTCCTACACGTGTTGTACGAGCGTCATACAAGTGTCGGACACTGCGACATGGCTACTCCTAGAGGTGTCCGTGCTTCATAGTTAAGAACCCAGTTAATATTTCTGCTGGTAATGGTCTCTCTGCATGTCTTGAAATGAGTTTTGATTAAATTCAACATAGGTGCTATATGACAGCATTCCCCACCAAGGTAATAATGATGGTTGAGAAGAATTAAGCCTCAAGACAGCTTAATGTCACCTTCATTAGGCCCAACAAACTATTTAGAGATATGCTGATTCACACTGGAGGCATGTAAAGTTTGTAGAAGGGGATTGTGTTCATATGAAACCGAGGCAGCTTAGACTAAAGTTGATTCAGATGGTTTCTTGCTTAGGGGAGGTTGCTTACACGGTCCAGCTACTGGGCTTAGGATATATCTTGTGTTTCATGTCTCTCGACTCAAACATAACATGCGACGAAAGGTGAATCTGTAGCAGCAACCTTATTTCCTGAGATGAAAGTCAATAACCTGATCCTGTGGTCACCCAATGCAGCGCTGAGTGTTGACCACCACAGAAAGGAGGTGTAATGGCAAGTCATTATTCCAAGAGCAATTTGCATCTTTCAGGATATGGCAGGATTAGTGGGGAAGTAGGAGGTAGGAGGGTTAGTTATGTAGAGGATGATGTCTTTTATATAGGCTAGGAGGTAATGATGAAACTTAATCTGAGTATTGGTGTTAGTTGAAGCTTAGAACTTCTTTTCCTTGTATTTAGTTAGTTTCACAGTAATACCGAAACTTAAACTAACAAGGAACTCCCATCACCCTCTCCCTGATTTTAGCCTCTAAAAATATTGTTCAAGCATAAATAGTAATCTTACTATTAAAGGTACTGGTATCAACGACTCCATGTAGATCTTACTGTGCACTAGCTGCACAGTATCTTAGCTTTTAACTTGCCCCTAACTAACTCCTAATCTAGGAAACTGACCCCTAAAGGAGCCTTGTAACTAACTAAATTGACTCCACGAGATCCAAATCCTTGAAGATTGGCCGAGTACGTCTCATCAGAGGAATTAGGGTTTGACGCAGTGAAGTGAGGTATGTCGTTCGAAGCAGCAGACAATGCTGTTAGATTCGCATTTGCATAAGCAATTGTGTTCTTGCAAAACCGGTCCGGTTGCGACTCATGACAGAGAAGAAGAGTTTTAACTTCGGTAGAAATAGCGCTAACTTTGCCTGTGATGGAGCTGGCTGTAGATTCGAAATCTTGAGGTAATCCAATGGCTTTGATAGATCCAATCAACGTTTAAACACGAAGGAGTTCAGAAATTGAGTTTTTGCAGTTTTTGAGCTTCACGTGTCTGAGTTCAGATCGAAGCTGGCAGAGCTTCGCTGCTGTGTGTTGTTGGAAGTAGGTGTGACTTTTGACCCAAAGTATCCACAAACTTTTGCATCCAATGACGCGACACGGCATATCACGAGATATAGTTGATTGCAGCCATGCGAGGAGCAATTGTTCTTGTTGTTCCCATAGCTCAAACTCGAGAAATGCGATCATGATAAGCATCATCAATTGAAGCATACTTGAGCGGAATTTTAGGATTGAACAAGAAATGATGAAGTTTGTCTCAAACTCGAGAAATGCGATCATGATAAGTATCATCAATTGAAGCACACTTGAGTGGAGTGGAATTTTAGGATTGAGCAAGAAATGATGAAGTATGTGAGCTTTGATTACAGGTTCTACCTGTTGGCACCATAGAGATAGTTCTCCGAATCAAGCTTTTCAGAGAAGGCGGAAAACACGTGTTTGCGCGTTGGGGAGGAAGGCGCAATCTGCTGCCCAGGTGTGGAAGGATCAGTGGCCTCAAGATGGAAGGGAGCTTTTACTGATACCATGTCAGAATTCCTATTCAGTAATATTAGGGATGAGAGAATTCTCAATTTAGTTTACTCAATTTCTGTTTTGTATTGCTCTAGATTTTAGGAGTTATTTAGGGGTAGTTATATGGGCTAGGATACTGTGCAGCTAGTGCAAGTAAGAAGTACATGGACTGGTTGATACCAGTTCCTTTGTGCTCATGTTTTAAATTGGTTATCATTCAGATTTCAGAGATTTGTGGTTTTGCATATTTTCATGAAAACAGCACCTAGGCCATACACACAGTTCTGTAGATCTGAATCAGTCACAAAACTCAATAGCAAGCCATATAACAAGTGATCAGCAAGTTCATATCAAATAGAAAGTTTATACTAAACCAAATAAAATAAAAATGAGAAAATATCCATGGCATAGAGGTTTATAATTCTGATCAGTTGATGATGCTAATATAACCTAATATTGCAGTAACTGATGCTGAAATGAAGCATGACGCCCGTACTTTTTCCAGATCCCACTTAACTAGAAAAAATAAGCAAATTTCTGGTCTTGCAAGACATAATTGCACAAAGGATAAGTCTTGTATCAGTATATTTTCAAATTTTCTCTTTGAACAGTGTGTGCTTTAACAGCACCTTGCTGAGCAGTTCGGCATTCTCGACATGGTGATAGAAAAGACTTAATTTTCTGGCAAAACCCTGTCCTCTTCATAGTGTTTGGCTTGTTTGTATGTTTGCTTTCTTTGCCAAGTTCATGATATTTCATACCGCTGCCTGTTTTTCCGCTCGCCATTTCACTACTGATATGATTTGCTAGTAATGATCTCGAGGAACTGGTTGGAGTTACGATCAAAGTCTGAGTTGTTTCAAATGCAAATGCTTGTGGTTTAAGTTGAAGTTGACCATTGGAAATAAGCTGATCAGCAGGTGTGATCTTGATTGGATTGACAGGTGAATTCAAGTTTACTTTTGGGTTAGTAAACTCGAATTCTTGCTCATGTTTGCTTACCAAGGAGTGTTTCGCCTGGTTAGTAGGAAGAGAATGGAGGTTTTTCTGTTGGTCTTGAATAGAAACAAGGCCGCTAAAAGAGAGCGAGTCCATTGAAATGCTATCAGACACAAGTTTTGTAGGAGGTTTGTTTCCTTTCATGGTATGCATTGATTCATGATCTAAATGGCTATATCGGCTGAAAACTTATACATGAAGAAAATTGCCTCCTTCAAATTGTTTTATTTTTCTTGGCCCCTTTGAGAAAGAGGAAGAGTAAAGCTCATGCACATATATAATTTTCATTGTCAATTCTCATTCATTGAACTGATTACATTGGTTTCTCTAAGGTCACTGTCAAATCTTAAAATCTGAATAAAGCTTGTATGACAAAGTCATAACATCAATTTTTGCCTTTGCTGTGATTGCCTTTTGGGCTTACTTAAGGCATTGCCACTAATAGCATACTCAAATGGCCGATTCTTCAAGGATGGCTAGTCTTGCTAGCTGAAGAGTTCAGCATCTTTTGTTTATTTCTCTGATTAATTATTATCATTGTCACTGTCTTCTTCTGTTTAGATCTTTTTCTTGTTAAATCACCGACTGGTGATGGTTGTGGCTGGCCCAATCGGTCATTTAGTTCGCGCGTGCTTTCATGAAGAGATACATATTTAAATGTGAGTTTGTGACCCTTCCTAGGACTGAGGAATAACTCAAATTTTGCATGTTATATTTTTCTAACATAGAGAGTACTTAAATGTTGATTCTTGAGAGTTGCATAGGAATTTCTGCATTTTTAACATAGATGTAATTTATTCACTAGTTAGTCACCACTACATTTAAAACTTTGTCAGTATCATTTTTTAATAGCAAGTTTATCTTTTGCCTTTAATATGCTTTTTTTATGCTAGTAGCACCGGCTGGAGTACATTGAGTCATTGACATGTTTACAGGAATTAATTTTAATATTAAGAATAAAAGAATATATAGAAGTAATGAGAATATTTATTTGTTTAGTTTGTAAGTTTGACAAATATATTAATAATAAATAATGTTTTTTAATCTGCCTTATACTATTTAATAAATTTGAAGAGTTATATCAAGTTTTATTCTAAAAATAAAACAATATAGGAATTTTTAATAGATTTCACATATTATAAAAAAATATAATTGATCGTACCTAATTAGAAAGGATCGTCAATGGTCCTCAAGTTTGGACTGAATGCCGGCTAAAAGTGAAGTAGGGGGTTATTGGCAAGATATTTTGATGCCAAAGTAAGGTTTAGAGTAGAATGCAAGTAGTGAAAAGTGTGAAGAATAATGTACTTGATCCTTTAGTAAAAGAGGATATATATAGCCCCCAGCGTTGGGCCAAGACCTTTGTTATGGGCTGAAGATCCAGATCCACAATGAACGGTTGTCAAGACTCACGCGCGTGAAGTGGAGCAGTGCGTGCCCACAATTCTGAGTTTAACATAAATGAAATGTTACATTTACAACTTAAAATCAAACTTCATTTAATTGCATACAAAAAAGATATATAACACTTAATTTGGATGAACCAATAACAACCTGATTTATTCTTTAAAATCAAATAACATTTTATTGAAAAGCAGCGGAATTTACATACTCAATTTCAATTCACTTAACATCTTTTATTCAACTAAAACAACTTCAAGACAACAATTATTTCACGTAACTAATTTAAAAATTCAGCAACTGAAATAAATATCAACAACTAAACATCAAGCGTTGATCCCCCGAGTGCTACGTATCAGAGCCACGACACCGACTCGAACTAACAGGGTAACAACTATCTTTCTTGATTACTACACGTTACCAACAGAGGGAAACATTCAAACAGAAGAGATGTGATATCGAATTATATAATTGAGCGTATGATAAACAATATGTTAGATCATATCACATAAAATCACCACTTCACATCTTACAAACAACTTTAATCACAACAAAACATCGACACGACATAACTACTAATTCACAGCTTTTATATAATACTTGTCACAATAAGTCAACAACATAAAGCAACAACAAATTTATCATCACCATAACTCAAGATGCAACATCAACTGCGACTCAATTACAATGCACATATATGTGTTACAATTGGAGCAGAACTCCCAACTTAAAAATCTGCCAATAAATAGAGGCATCAACAAGACATAAGCCTTCTTCGTAGTTTGCCAATCTAAGCCATCACAGAGTATGCAAATGTATATGACTCAATGTATGCACTATCACATACTCACAACAAGCATCATCCATTGCAAGGCATAAGCCCACATCACCATTATTACCAGTAAATAGAGGTAATTCATCATCATTTAAAATTCCCTGCAACTTCGCATTATCAACAAGAATTCACAGCGACAATCACAACAACACAACTCCACATAAATCAATATTGGTCATAAGCCCACTGCATCAATCAACGATTCAACATTAACTCAACATAATTCAACTTTGGCCATATGCCTACAACTTGATATTTCAACAACAACCATTAACACAACGTTGACATAAGCCTACAACTTAGTACGTCACAACAACAATAGTAATTTGACAACAACATCAACAAGAAAACAACATTGGCCATAAGCCTAACAATTCAATACCACCTGCAATTTATATTTTTCAGCAAAGTATACAATACACAGCATCAACCAAAATATATTACAAACGCTCCGCAAATTTGTTCGGATAATTCGACAATTTTCGGTTAATTAATCTTTCGCTAAATTACCAACATTTTCTACTCTGTACTACTCTTATTAAGTCTATACAATTACTACTAGTATAGATACTACATGTTACTAATATCTCTCTGTCAAACTAGTACTATTACTCTCTGTTATTAAAAATACTACTTGTTACCAACATACACTACCTGTTATCCACTTAATAAATTACTATTAGTTACTACGTTGATCTTCTGCCAATTTATTCTACTAATTACTTCTATCGGTAATTCTCTGCTAAATTATTGCATCTGTTATTAATATACTACTCTGCTAAATTAATTGAACCATCCACTGCTACTTAGCATCTTTGTGCAAATTTAATTTCTGGAACACCATTGTTATTAACTCTACTGCTACTGCTACTCTAGATACCAACTAAGTGTTAATCTAACAATTACCTCTGCTAGATACCAACAAATCTGCTACTTGGTTTAAATTAATCTAATGAGATACTACTATAATTAATTAAGCTAATTATCCAATTTATTAAATTCATCTCTTCTAAATATTGATTTCCACAAATTAATCATACTGATAACTCTGTTATGTACTGCTACCAAAAATGTCTCAACTAATTCATACTAATACTGCTACATGAAGGCTCCAGTACAACAGCAAGAAACAAAACAAACAAAATAAAATTGATACAACATGTGCCCCTCGGCATCATTGTCCTGCCGATCGGCATGCTCCCCATTTCAATATTGTGCCGATCGGCACTCATGTCATGCCCCTCGACATGTATGTTTTCTAGCCTCCCAGTCTATTACTGATTACTAACGTATAATTTTCAATTTTAGGCCAACCACATAGAACCACACAACAACGTAATAACTATATCAACATATAATAATTTCCAACAACAAATTCATCGATTGATTCACTGCAAATTCCTCGGAAAATCTGACTGGTAACACCAACTCATAACAATAACAATTACACATACAACAACATCCCCACAACGATAATTTCATACAGATCAATCCCTGCATAATATTTATCATATACTCTTTTATAGAGTCAGAACCCCACCCTTACCTTGGATTAGAGATCGCTCTATTCTACCGGTTAAAGACTCTTGCCCTAGCTTCTAACCTTTGCCTCTTCTCTGTAACTTTGCAGCTTCTCACGTACCAAATTCTCCAAGACTTGTTCAATTAACCTAATTCCTTATAATTAGGTTAACCTTATAATTATTACTATTCTTATTGGGCCTAACTTTCACATCCCCCCACCTATTACTCCATACAACCAAATAATGAGCCCAACTAATAAACCTTATAATATTCTAATATCTATATTAATATTATTGCTAATATTAATCAACCAATCACTTAAATATCAACCAAATAATAACTTAGCAACTTCAATCAACATTTCTCGATATTTTGCAACTTCAACAATTTCGACAATATTTTCAACCATTAATCCGTAATCAATTTAATTAAATAATTAATCAAATTAACGGGCGTTACAACTCTCCCCCACTTAGAATATTTTCTTCCTCGAAAATCTATTCGATACTACCACTCTTAGCACGAGCTTCGCATCCAACTCGTTGATTTCCAAGTCGCGTTTGGCAACACTTCGACCACTACTTTCGTGATAACTCAATAACTCAACACGATTCAAATCGATTACACACATGCCAATCATTCAACATTTCGCGACACAATCGTTACTAGTATCTCAACTATTCCACCATAATCTGACATATCAACATTTAAAGTAGCAACAACTATAACACACTTATACTTAGATATACATCATCGCAATATCCTCTTAACACTCTTTTCAACACCAAAACACATACACAGTTTCATCCATGTATGTCAATTATCAACAAAATATCAACAACTCTACTCATATCATCGTATCACTCTTATAGTGACATCAACACATCCAACATAATCAACTTTGTCACGTTATGGAGTATCATTCCTTACTTACAGAAATCAACAATAACATCTCAACAACGATAACAAAATCATTGCAACATCAACTTAACTGTATAACTCAACAAGCGTACCCATAGCTCACCATCAACCAACAGTCCACAACAATCTTCTTATAAAATCCACAAATATTTACTAGCAAACATAATGCCCTGGCACAACATCTCTATATCAAAAATCCACCAAATCAAGCATGTAGATTAAGACACACCATTCCCATAGGCTTATGATGTTTTAATCCTTCACTTCTAACGAGTCGTACACGCATAGCAATTGCGCCACATCACGCTTCAGCTGCGCAACTCTGATAATCCATCTTAAGTCACCGTCCTCGTTAAAATTTCCGTCAACAATCTAACTCGCAAGTTTCAATCTAGTTTCAAAATTTCCTCAATACACACTGTTGTACCCCAAATTTTTGTCTCTCATTTATCAAGTATTTTCTCACAAGATC